AATTAATGAGCAACATATATCGACAGCACGAACATTGATATCCATGTTTTCACATACAACATTCATCGCTTGAAGCATGTATTCTACACCGCTTCACAAAACATCGCATCACGATTTATTACCATCGAACCGCTCAGTTCCAGAGTGAATGTGGCAATTCCTCCCAACATCAAGAGAGCTATTGGTTATGTGCTTCACAACACGCCACAGTTTAGTACATTTAGCAAAACAATTACTGTAACTAATGCTTAGCAGCCGTTGGGACCAACTGATTTAGTCACATTCTATGACGTACAGAAATCAGGCGCCGAATTTAAGTAACATTCTAGACTCGTTTGTCTGTTTTCGTGTTCCACGTCATATGATCCGCCTATCTAACTCTGACTTGACCCTCCTGGGCCTGATTCCCCGGCAGGACACGTGGCAGAACAGAGGAACTTCCATCTGCATCAGTGTCGTCGGAACAACGTCTTTAAAGCTGTAACAAAACAGTGTTGCTCATTTGTTTTTTCCAGTGTGACGAGCAAGGATTAGTGTCTTGTAAAAATATTCATCTTACACATACATACCTCACAACATCTCCAGCATACAGAGTAGAAATAGCTCCATGACAAACTGAAATTATGATTACAACATGTCCCATTGATTTCTCTCATTATTATACATGTTTTATACCTTCTGTATGCGACTTTAACAGGTCTACTACTACTACTACTACTACTACTACTACTACTACTACTACTACTACTACTACTACTACTCGTATGCATATTAGACAACGGCATGTTAAAGGATATATAAGGTAAGCTAATTTATGTTACCAAAAGTACGCTACTTGATGAAACCAATGGTAAGCTACTTGATGTAATCAATGGTAAGCTTATTTATGTTATCAAAGGTGAGATACTTGATGTTACCAAAGTTGTGATACTTGATGTTACCAAAGTTGAGAAACTTGATGTAATGGTTCAAGAGACCCACGTGAAAACAAGGGACGTGGTGTCAGACATGTGCATCAAGTGGACCCATAATGTTCAGAAATGTTTGGCAGTTAGATTTCTCCACAGGCCAATTACCAGTCCCCGGACAATAGGTGGTACTGCTCTGCTCCTCCGCCTCATATCCTGTAACATTACAATGATGACCTCTAGGGAAGACTCAGGTGCGTCATTTGACCAGTCCCCGGACAATAGGTGGTACTCCTCTGCTCCTCCGCCTCATATCCTGTAACATTACAATGATGACCTCTGGGGAAGACTCAGGTGCGTCATTTGACCAGTCCCCGGACAATAGGTGGTACTGCTCTGCTCCTCCCCCTCATATCCTGTAACAGTACAATGATGACCCCTGGGAAAGACTCAGATGCGTCATTTGACCACTCCCCGGACAATAGGTGGTACTGCTCTGCTCCTGCCCCTCATATCCTGTAACAGTACAATGATGACCTCTGGGGAAGACTCAGGTGCGTCATTTGACCAGTCCCCGGACAATAGGTGGTACTGATCTGCTCCTCCGCCTCATATCCTGTAACATTACAATGATGACCTCTGGGGAAGACTCAGGTGCGTCATTTGACCAGTCCCCGGACAATAGGTGATACTGCTCTGCTCCTCCCCCTCATATCCTGTAACATTACAATGATGACCCCTGGGAAAGACTCAGATGCGTCATTTGACCACTCCCCGGACAACAGGTGGTACTGCTCTGCTCCTGCCCCTCATATCCTGTAACAGTACAATGATGACCTCTGGGGAAGACTCAGATGCGTCATTTGACCAGTCCCCGGACAATAGGTGGTACTGCTCTGCTCCTCCGCCTCATATCCTGTAACATTACAATGATGACCTCTGGGGAAGACTCAGATGCGTCATTTGACCAGTCCCCGGACAATAGGTGGTACTGCTCTGCTCCTCCACCTCATATCCTGTAACATTACAATGATGGCCCCTGGGAAAGACTCAGATGCGTCATTTGACCAGTCCCCGGACAATAGGTTGTACTGCTCTGCTCCTGCCCCTCATATCCTGTAACAGTACAATGGTGACCTCTGGGGAAGACTCAGGTGCGTCATTTGACCACTCCCCGGACAATAGGTGGTACTGCTCTGCTCCTGCCCCTCGTATCCTGTAACATTACAATAATGACCCCTGGGGAAGACTCAGGTGCGTCATTTGACCAGTCCCCGGACAATAGGTGGTACTGCTCTGCTCCTCCCCCTCATATCCTGTAACATTACATTGATGACCTCTGGGGAAGACTCAGGTGCGTCATTTGACCACTCCCCGGACAATAGGTGGTACTGCTCTGCTCCTCCACCTCATATCCTGTAACATTACAATGATGACATCTGGGGAAGACTCAGATGCGTCATTTGACCAGTCCCCGGACAATAGGTGGTACTGCTCTGCTCCTCCGCCTCATATCCTGTAACATTACAATGATGACCTCTGGGGAAGACTCAGGTGCGTCATTTGACCAGTCCCCGGACAATAGGTGGTACTGCTCTTCTCCTCCGCCTCATATCCTGTAACAGTACAATGATGACCTCTGGGGAAGACTCAGGTGCGTCATTTGACCAGTCCCCGGACAATAGGTGGTGCTGCTCTGCTCCTGCCCCTCATATCCTGTAACAGTACAATGATGACCTCTGAGGAAGACTCAGATGCGTCATTTGACCAGTCCCCGGACAATAGGTGGTACTGCTCTGCTCCTCCGCCTCATATCCTGTAACATTACAATGATGACCTCTGGGGAAGACTCAGGTGCGTCATTTGACCAGTCCCCGGACAATAGGTGGTGCTGCTCTGCTCCTGCCCCTCATATCCTGTAACAGTACAATGATGACCTCTGGGGAAGACTCAGGTGCATCATTTGACCAGTCCCCGGACAATAGGTGGTACTGCTCTGCTCCTGCCCCTCATATCCTGTAACATTACAATGAGGACCTCTGGGGAAGACTCAGGTGCGTCATTTGACCAGTCCCCGGACAATAGGTGGTACTGCTCTGCTCCTCCGCCTCATATCCTGTAGCAGTACAATGATGACCTCTGGGGAAGACTCAGATGCGTCATTTGACCAGTCCCCGGACAATAGGTGGTACTGCTCTGCTCCTCCGCCTCATATCCTGTAACATTACAATGATGACCTCTGGGGAAGACTCAGGTGCGTCATTTGACCAGTCCCCGGACAATAGGTGGTACTGCTCTGCTCCTCCGCCTCATATCCTGTAACAGTACAATGATGACCTCTGGGGAAGACTCAGATGCGTCATTTGACCAGTCCCCGGACAATAGGTGGTACTGCTCTGCTCCTGCCCCTCATATCCTGTAACAGTACAATGATGACCTCTGGGGAAGACTCAGGTGCGTCATTTGACCAGTCCCCGGACAATAGGTGGTACTGCTCAGCTCCTGCCCCTCATATCCTGTAACAGTACAATGATGACCTCTGGGGAAGACTCAGGTGCGTCATTTGACCAGTCCCCGGACAATAGGTGGTACTGCTTTGCTCTCTCTGTGGCATAAAAATAACAAACAACTAGTATATGTGCCAAACTTAAAAATGGCTTAAGTTAATCATTTACCTTTATCATTTTATCTTTTCAAGGGTACACATTTTGTAAAAGTTTTATCAGCTCAAAGTAATGATTGTGTCCATGAATCACATGATAAAGGGTAAGAAAACAGCTGCACTATTTGTGAAGCCTCGGATGTTTCAGAAAAAGATATAACAAATATTGTTGTCATACCAGAGAAGGTATGATAGACTTTGATTGATGTATCATACCTTATCTGCACTTATCCCAGGTCTGATGTATCCCAAGTATTAACATAGCCCACTCCAGCAAGTCCACCTTAGGAATTCTGAGTATTTGATGACATTTTATAGGCCATGTGTATATCTCATAAACGCTGATCTGACATCAACGGGCATACCAGTACTGTACCTACAATATGTGACGTAGTATTAACGTGTGTCTTCAGACTCATATTTCCTACCCAAGACATTTTTATAAATCCGCTATCTTCTTCCCAGCTTGTACACAATTAAATATTCTTGAAGTCACGTTGACCGCGGCTTGGGTGACGTATGCCTGTTGGTGTTGGATTGACATAGCAATGTCCCACAACGTTTGTACATGACAAACACATGGCCTACTGATTACTTTGATACGTCAAATCTACCAGGAGTTTTCCTTTTGTACCCAGGGTTTCTGTTTTTTGCTTTGTGTATTAGAATAGTATGTGTAATGTAATGTGTTAGTATCAATATATGTGATATCTATTGATTATTTGCGAATGCCACTTGGTACTGATAACACCCGTGAAGATCCGGGGTAGAATAGATATTCAGCTACCCTTCCAGCTGTAAATGGCGACAATGCTTATCGTAGGAGGCGACTAACGGGATCGGGTGCCCAGGCTCGCTGACTTGGTTGATGCATGTCATCTATCCCAATTGCTGTCATATAGCTGCAACATTGCCGAGTTCGGCGTTAAACAACAAACAGACAATACTGATGATTATCTAGCGTCGCCTCCAAATTGTCTGACCAACCTTCATGTCCTTGCCTCACGTTGTATGAAACATTATGACTAATATTAGAACGATGCACATTTTGATAAATGATGAACTCTTTCTAACCCCGCATCTCTAAAACGGATCATTACTTTATCAGCGAAAGTTTTCTTCAAAACACCTAGGTGGGTTGAGAGATGCCTGTCTGTATGGGCTCCAAATATGCGCAGACAGACATGTCCATCAGAAATTCGCACAACGTGAAAAGATTCGGTGTACAAATTCGTGAATATTTTATGAAGTACCCTTGTTGTTATTTGAATGGCACATGGTAGATTATCTTGTGCGCAGTAACTTTTATTCCATTATATCCTGTTGAGCAGTCCATATTCAGACATAGTAATATGCGTTGTGTTAGTCTATTTTTGAGTGAGTGAGTAAGTAAGGTATAACGACAAGGGGAAAAAAGGATTCTGGTGCTACAGTTACGGAGACTTTGACAAATTTTCTTTATTTGCACTAAAAACAAGGTTCAATTTTATGTCTGCAGGGTAGGTGAAAGGTACACATACAAATGAGAGAACATCGTGAACATCTAGATGCATGTACCCTGGTACAAAACAACGGTACACAGGTCGTGATCAGTCCCCTTGGCTCTAGAATAGTTCACTTGCTTCTATTGATTGTATAGTATGTCCAGGTTGCCAACGTCGGCAAAACTAACATGGTGAAACTGATGTCAGATGTAATTCCCTGTTTAGACTTGAACAACATGTTTCAGTGTCTTTTCAGGTGAACAACTGTCTTGCTGGTAATGGGAGCCGCCGGTGGGGCAGGATACGCTCACCTTTTAGCGAACACCTGGTATCGTCACAATTTGATGGTGTTCAATAAAGACTTGTTCATGATATAGTCGGAATCATACAGTCGACTCTGCTTAACGCAGAGATTTCCTATGAATATGGAAAGGCCTTTGTGCGTTTTTATTGCACTGGCGGTGCACAACAAGCAGCCAATGAAGTTCTCCACGTGGGGATTCCGGGTTAGAATAGGTCCTCAGCAACCTGTGCTGGTCGTACGAGGCGACCAAATGATCAGACTCCGCCAGCTGGTTGATACAGTGTCATCGTGACCCAACGACTTGGGATGTTGCTCGTGATGTCAATCACTGGTTTCTCGCGTTCATACTCGATTATCTACCGTCATATACATGTAGCTTGAATATTGCAGCGTTGACCAACATAGAATTACAGTGGATTCGTTTATTTGTAACACACATGGACGGCACACTCTGTGGTAGAATGTTCATGGCTTCAAGTGCATTCGTTCACTGCATTTTATGGCGCTTCAAAAAACATTGCATCACGATTTATCTCCCTTAGACCGATCAACGGCCAAGTGAATGTAACACGTCCTTTCTGCAGGAACGGGAGAGCAATCGGTTCTGTGTTTCATAACGCGAAACAGTTCACTAAAGCTACCAAAACAAATAGTACATTTAATGTATATATGTACAATAGTAGTTTCCGGTGATTGTGTTGAACACTGAGGCTGACATTGTACTTAATTCGGCCCTTGATTTCTACACATGTCATACAAGGTGACTAAATTGGTGATCGGTTGGTCACAATGACTGCTTAATACGGGCTTTTCACGTTGACTGGTTTGGCGGTGTGCAGCCACGATCAGCCTGTCGAACTCAGCAACTGTCGCCCGGATCATTGTGGTCGTAAGAATGCCTATAAGTCTGGCTGTCATGTAAATATTACACAGATGTATCAGATATCACGAATATATCCATAATACACTGGCATGATGATAATTCACAATAATTCATTTTGGGGTATCATTAAATGAATTATTGATATAAAATCAGGAATAAATAGTAAAACGGCGCTTGATATATAAATCTGTCACAAAACAGTCCTAAACAGAAGGAATAGCTCCATGTTACACTCGCATTGTGGTTACAAACATGAAAAACACATCATGCGGAGGATCTGGTATTCGATGTAATGACATTTTATCAAAGCCACTTACTTTCGAAGTTTGTAAAACATAAAAGGGAAAACATGTTCAGATTAGATCTGAAGAATAAAAGCAGTAGTGAATAACCGTGTCTTGCTATTGAGATTACAAATATAATGTGTACACTTACAGACCATGTATGATTAAATCTTCATTCATCACATTCAAATAGCAAAGCTCAGATGAGTGATTAAACACTAATATATAATGTGATTTTACTAAAACACAGTGAAATGTGCTTAAAGGGAAATACACAATGACACATATCAAAACCTAAATCCTCAACTCACACGTGACTACAGTTGATTGAAAGGAGGATTGTGACATGTTCACTCACTTCAATGTAAATACCGCCACTACATTTGACATACACACGTACATGCAGCCACGCCCACCAACACACACTCCACGTGGATACTTGACACCATCCTGTGATGTCAGTATGCTTCTAACAAACTGTCCTGACTCAGTCAGATGGAGGACTCTGTGTAGATGGCTGTCTGTCACCAGGATGTCGCCTGTGCTGGTGCTGGTGATACCACGTGGATACTTCAGAGCTGTGTCTCCTGTTGGGCTGTAGGTGAACACCACATCTCCCTCGGGAGTCAGACACACGACACACTTGGATCCACTGTCACACACCAGGATGTTTCCTGTCCTCGTGGTACAGAGGAAGTTGGGATTCTTCAAGATGTTTCTACTAGGTTGGCCTGGACAAATTGACTTCAGCACGTGTCCCGTCATACCCAGGACATCAACACAGGGAGGGGAGATGGAACTTGCTGCTAGTGTTGATGGTGTCAGAGACGTTATACCAAGGTACTGTTTGCTGGTTGTGATGGCTGACAGCAGCACTAGGTCAGGGTTGACTTGTACTGTTACAATCTGTCTGGTACCTTGCACAGTGACAGCCACCTGGTTGTCCTTTAACTGTGTTATACCCCACGGAGGACCACCCAGACTGAGCCTCCTGTGACACGGCTGCTTGTTCCTGGTGTAGAAGGACTTCACACTGTTGTTGCTATAGTCTGTGACTACCACTGTGTCTGTACCATTCACCACTACCACTACCCCGTCAAGGATGTCTTCTCTTAACATATCCCCTGCTACTCTGGTGTTAATGGTGTCCTGTAACACAGGAGTAACCTTCAGGTCCAGCACGTCAATAGTGTCCTGTAACACAGGAGTAGCCTTCAGGTCCAGCACATCCTCATACAGGACATCTATCTCACCCAGCTGTAGATCGTCCAGTGCTCTACTCAGCTTGTCCGTGTCCTGTCTGAACATGATCCTGGCTATTCTTCCCTTCTCCTTTACGTCTGCGACTCCGACAGCCTCCACATCACCGGCCTCCCACCCCTGGTACATCTCATACACACCCATGTCACACTCAGATTGTAGAGTCTGGTCTAACAGCTCAGCCTGTTGTTGGTACATCTGTACTGACATCTCACCTGACTTTATGTCTGCCTTCAGTTCTCCAATGTGTTTGTCAGACATTTCTTTCAGTTCAGCCAAAAGTTTCCGTTCCTTGACTTTGATCACCTCCATTGCTTTGACACTTGCAGATTTGATATTCGATTCTTTTTGTAAGTAATGCGTTAATGCTTCATTGACTTTGGAGGTTTGTTTACCAATATCTGTTTTCATCTCGTCTTGTTTCTTCAACAAATCCTCTTTTTTCCTTCTGAGCTCAGTTTTCATGGAAGGAATCTCCGACTCAATTTCAACAACCAAGTCACATTTCCTGTGATGGATAGTGCAGCATGTTTGACAAACAGCTGTTTTACAATCTTTACAAATATATTTGATATTTTCATCTTTGTGAACTTTACACATGACCTTTCTCTTGACCCTAACCTTTGTCTCTACACACAGGTCAACTACGTCATGGTGACGGAAAGATGGAATTCGGCTGTGTACTCGTATACATCGTTCACAGAGTGCGTCGTCACAAACAGAGCACCAAGTTGTAGCCGGAGTTGTCTCCCCTTCCTCCTTGCAATAACTACAGTGAGTCGTATCTGAAATAGGAATGTAATCATGTAGAGATATTAACAGTTCTATATCACAATCTATTACAGAACTTCATCTGGCATATCACTCACATGGGTGAGACAACATGCATCAATAACATCCCAATACGACGTAATGTGAAATATTATGTAAATAACATTGGATTTGTCTCACTGATAGAAATCGCCATATAGATCTCAGAAAAAAATAGCGATTGTGTCTGAGATAGACCTTAGACCATCTCCCTTTCGAATCATGTCCGGATAATCGTTGTTACTTGTTAAAACAGTGTACACGATACGATTTCATAGTCTACACACAGTCTACAAACAACTAAATAAATGACTTTCGATAAATTTTGAAACCATACAAAATATCTTCTCACTCAACACAAATTCCTATATTCAAAGTTCTGAATTATCGGTATCCATAGAAGCAATGCAAAATATCTGCTCAAATCCACCAGCTTAGAAACAACACGTATATCCGTAAAAGCCACAAACGCTCACCTTTACATCCGGGGCCAAACGAGTCCAAGAGTCCCTGGATGACAAAGCTAGGCTTGACGTCATCCGCCCACTCCTCCACTGGTCTCTTAGGGGCAGACACTTTCGTCATCTTGCTGCAGAATGGACACAGGAGAGACTTGGCACTGATGGCTTCTGGTCTGGTTTTGGTGTAGTTGACCATACATTCTGACAGAAGGTGTGATTACATACAAGTGTACAGGGCTTGTCAAACACCTCTGTACATATCGTGCATGTCAGGAAGTGTTCTGTTAACTTCTGGGAGGTCGCCATCTTACCTACAAAATTACAAACCAGCCGCTGAACAAAACATCATGATCTTAGCCACAATCCGAGCTTACAGTTCTTGAACACGTGACACTAAGACCGACTGTAGTTAAGAAAGAATATTTGTATCCTACCGTGTCATACATGTATAAAACATTTTTCAGATGTATGCAGATCTTATGAATTAAGAACTAATATTCTGCCTTACACATGCGTTCGTGCGTGCTTGCGTGCTTGCGTGCTTACGTGCTTGCGTGCTCGTGTATATGCGTGTGTGATTTTCTCAACTCTCGGCGGTCGTACAAGAAGCATAAATAGGTCCTTTATAGCTACCCATTCACCCGTTTGTGTATACCCGGGATGAGTGAGCAGATAGTGAATGGTGCTTTACAACTCGAGGTCACATGCTCGCTTTACAACATGAAGTGTGTGCAGTGTATCGATCACGTGACATATTTATGGGGTGACACCCACTTATTACCATATCGAAAGTAGGAGACATTATTAAGGTTCACATACTAGCATATCAGATGTGAAATAATATAGTTATGTAGAAGTATTTTCTCGTATGGTTTACTGAAGCATTTGTCAGGGATCATGTCAGTAATAACTGTAATAGACACACGTGATATATACATACACATACATCGGATCAGTCTCAGTATTGAAGTCAAGTATCGAAGGCAATAGTGAAAGTAGATCTTTGATGTATTCCGGTTAGCCTACATGTTACATTTAATTAGGTGCCCGGTCATGAGAATCTGCCTGGAGATGACTGTTTAGTTAGATGAACCCTTGTGGTGTTACCAGTACACAGTAGGACAGGTGTGTAGCGTTATGACTGAAGTAGACACAGGACTTGTGACAACACACACTTACCTGGTGTTGAGGGAAATTGAGCAGCAGGAAGTGATTCATTCGTGACCAACTCGTGTCATTCCGGGACAAGCTTCTCGCAGTTTACGGAAAGAGTCGAGTGGTGACGAATGCACGTGTGTAACCAGAAGTGGATTTCGACAACAAGTAGGAGGTTCTGAAAGCAGGCCCACGCTGTAGCACCGCAGGGAATCAGAGCGACCTGTTATCCCACACGCAAGCAGCATATTTTATACTGTGTAGTAAATCATTCGTGTTAAATAAGCACAGCAGAAGTCCAGAAAGTTCGAATTAAATATAAACTATTTTATTTGTTATTTATTTTATATTGCATGTTTAATTGATGCGACATGTACAATATGGTTGCACCACTCAGCTGGCTGCAAGAACTGTTCTTTGACGCAGTTTTATATGTCATCTGTTGTAAGTAGAAAATTATTTCCCTGAACAGCAAGTTTATGACATTAAAATGGCCACATGTCTTTCCACTTGCACCTTCAAACAGTTGACTGATTTCCTTCCACCTGTTGGCTGCCATTCAGTAGCACGATAGACCAATGTTGTATAAGCAAGGATGTTTCTCCATCTTTCATATGAACATTCCTCATCAATGTAGGATTTTGACATATTGATACATATCGATTTCCATATTAAAACAATATGTTAACCCAGAAATTTGATCGTAACAGAATTTAGGGTGAAACCAACAAACACCAAACAAATGGTATACAATCAAAAATACAATAAATAAAGTTACTGCACAGAAATAACATTGTCAGTATGCAATAGAGTGTAGTACAAAATTCAATGGCAGTATTAAATATGATGCCAGTGGTGACATAAAAAAATCACTAAAATATCATCTTTAGAAGAGAAAGGTCTTACCTCAGTAAGTCAGTCAGAATGTCAGCGCGTCGTAATACACTTACATTAAGTACAAAATGATAAATATGACGGGTATGACGGTAGAGATTTCCGAGTTGTCAATGAACCTGTGGCGGTTACATATTGGTTATCAATTATCAATTATCGATCATTGAAAAATGTTTATAAAGATACTAAGGTAAAACCATAGATTGCCGTAGGCTGTCGCTGTCAGTCTAGACACGGGTCGAGTCGATACTACGATAGTTTGGATGGTTTGGTTCGTGAACGATTATGCAGTCAAACACTCTGACGTTTCTCAATGTGTGCTAAGTGTTTGAGTTCAAGAATAAAGGGTCTAAATAACCAGAAACAACGCTTTTTCCTGTATTCATGTAAGGGAATTCCCAGGGCTTCCCCCAGGACAGTGTAAGTAGTCCGTCGGTGTTTATGTCATTTCAAGAATACGGTCTCCTGAAAAACGTAAGAACATCAAGTTGTGTCGTTATGAACGACATGCGAGCGACCTCTTGTCCAAAGGAAAAGACGTATATCGTGTAAACTTGATTTTCTTTCCATGCAATGTCAACAGAAACAATGTAATACAGTTACAATCAGTGTTTAACAATAAAATAAATACTACAAAATGTTTTGCTAATTAAAGTAACTAAAACAATTGATGTTTCAATATTTGTAAATTGTCAATGGAAGAGAAGAGAATAAGCAGTCTAAATAATCAGATTCCATTTGGCTAAAAGGGAACAAATAGCAGTAAATTTACATATGAATGGACCACTGAAAATCTGTGATGACACGAGAACACGTGTTCTTCTTGAATGTGACGTCACTACAAGGGGATTCCCCGTCACGTCAGGTCAGCAGCAGCAATCAGGTATTGAGTGTTCCAAACACTGATCATGATGTCCACGCACTGCTGCTTACGATATGGGTTGGTGTGGGTTGCTAATACATTAGTGTAGGTTCTTAATGCATAATTGTGGTTTGTTAATGTATTAGAGTGGGTTGCTAATGCATTAGCGTTGGTTGTTAATGTATTAGTGTAGGCTGCTAACGCATGAGTGTTGGTTGTTAATGTATTAGTGTGTGTGCCTGATGCTTTAGTGTGGGTTCCTAACGCATGAGTGTTGGTTGTTAAAGTATTAGTGTGGTTGCCTGATGCTTTAGTGTGGGTTGCTAATACATTAGTGTTGGTTGCTAATGTATTAGTGTGTGTGTCTGATGCTTTAGTGTGGGTTCCTAACGCATGAGTGTTCCTTGTTAAAGTATTAGTGTGGGTGCCTGATGCTTTAGTGTGGTTTGCTAATACATTAGTGTTGGTTGGTAATGTATTAGTGTGTGTGTCTGATGCTTTAGTGTGGGTTCCTCATACATTAGTGTGGGTTGCTGATGCTTTAGTGTGGGTTGCTAATCCATTAGTGTGGGTGCCTGATGCTTTAGTGTGGGCTGCTAATACATGAGTGTTGGTGTGCTACTTGACTTAACCAAAGGTAAGCTACTTGATGTTACCAAAGTTGAGATACTTGATGTAATGGTTCAAGAAACCCACGTGAAAACAAGGTACGTGGTGGCAGAAAAGTGCATCAAGTGGACCAATACTGTTCAGAAATGTTTTGGAGTTAGATTTCTCCACAGGCCAATTACCAGTTCCCGGACAATAGGTGGTACTGCTCTGCTCCTCCCCCTCATATCCTGTAACAGTACAATGATGACCTCTGGGTAAGGCTCAGGTGCGTCATTTGACCAGTCCCCGGACAATAGGTGGTACTGCTCTGCTCCTCCCCCTCATATCCTGTAACAGTACAATGATGACCTCTGGGTAAGGCTCAGGTGCGTCATTTGACCAGTCCCCGGACAATAGGTGGTATTGCTCTGCACTGACTTTGGCATAAAAATAACAAACAACTAGAAATGGCTCAAGTTGATCTTTTCAAGGGTACACATTTTGTAGAAGTTTTATCAGCTTAAATTGTGTCCATGAATCAGAGTGATAAGGGATAAGAAAACAGCTGCACTGTTTGTGAAGCCTCGGATGTTTCAGAAAAAGATATAACAAATAGTGTTGTCATACCAGAGAAGGTATGATAGCCTTTGATTGATGTATTTTACCTTATCTGCACTTATCCCAGGTCTGATATTTCCCAGGTATTAACATAGCCCACTCCAGCAAGTCCACCTTAGGAATTCTGAGTATTTGATGACATTTTATAGGCCATGTGTATATCTCATAAACGCTGATCTGACATCAACGGGCATACCAGTACTGTACCTACAATATGTGACGTAGTATTAACGTGTGTCTTCAGACTCAAATTTCCTACCCAAGACATTTTTATAAATCCGCGATCTTCTTCTCCTCTGGTACACAATTAAATATTCTTGAAGTCACGTTGACCGCGGCATGGGTGACGTATGCCTGTTAGTGTTGGGTGGACATAGCAATGTCCCACAACATG